TAGCATCTTTCCAGAAAACCAAACGGAAAAGTGGAAAATTTACAGGTGAACTACGTTGTTTTTGGGACGGTATTTGCGCGCCCGGCAATCCCCTTTTTGCAGCCTTTTTCAAGAGTAATTAGAGCTCTAGCGTAGGTACAGGCCACGAAAACAGCGGGACCAACGCGAATAACCTATACTCCCCATTGTAAATATACACTGTCATCCAATCGGAAGCTTCGTTACGACTTACATTTTCGGTATTGAAGCACCCGATTGGATGACAAAGTCTCCTTCCAGCTCGTGGCCTTAATGTGCAACTACGTTTAAATCGGATAGCCAAATGTGGGATTTGTTCACAATAGGAAAGAGGGTGAGAGCTAAACTCTACATTCCCAGGGGGAGAGAAAAGCTGCCAGGCTGGTGTCGGGTGTGTCACAAGATCATGCCGAAGTGACCGTCAGGAACAAGAGACTGTCCGTTACAGGGAGGCCCCTCTATGTCCGGGGAATGCAGATACTCGGCGGATGAAGTCGTAGGCTTCCGCGGCCGGAGTCATGTGCGTGATCTGGGCTGTCCGTGTGACGTCGCGTTGAAGACTGTGTTGCCGACGTTTCGACCATCTTGGCGAGATTTCCTCAGGGCTGGTATACGTCACCCGGGCAGCCCAGATCACGCAGAAACTCGGCGGATTTTCATTCGAAAACCTCTGCCGCGAAGCTATCGGGTTATGAGCGCCAGGCTCATGGAAGACCATATGTTGGTGTAGCGTTGGGTGATGCTCTCGGGTGGCGAATGCTACGGAACGGCTCACTGATCTCACATTGTAAATAAAGAAATAAGGAGAATGTGCGTATATCTGTCGCTCATAGAGGTAAAAACTACACGAAATATTTCATTGCAATTTCCATGTTATCGGGAGTGTTTAAGTGGTTTGAATTAATTAGGATATAAGGGGGCGTTGATGCGTGCGTATGTGAGGACTCAAGCCCCACTGAAACAAGCTCTAGGCAACCCGCCGCACCGCTAAGAATTAAGCGCGTCTGCAGCTGCATATTCTGCCCCTGCGACTGTGAAATCTTAGTCGGAATTATTATTTGAACGTTATCTTAGTTCAAGTAAATCTAATTTCTCCAAGACAGTTGATAATATAAACCATACTATACTTGACAACCATGTCCAAATCAGACATAGAGCTAACCTATACTCGCAAGAAAGTATTTTATCTATTACAACTTTGCAGAGCATAGCATAAAATGTGATTAACAGTCACGTGACCAGTAGCATGTGAAATGTAATACAATGCAATAGCAAAGTATTACCAGGTCTATTAGTTGTAAATAAGTTATACTCGTATATACATATGCCAAAGCCATCTTGCTTATATCTGCAACCTACTTCGTCACATAATGAAACCAACAAGACGCCAGCTCAAAGCGAGAGAAAAATTTGTCATTTCAACTTTTCACTCCCTCGTGGAGGAACAAATACCTCCGGTACAAATATTCTATCTACAGTAGATGGGAAACGCCCAATAGGTGGGCATCTATTGGCGGCTACACACATTCGGTATTTGCCGAGCAGCAAGCTACTGCTCGCCCAATCCCGAACAGCTGATGTGATCGGCAATTGATGTGTCCTAAAGTACTACACGAGGTGGGGAGGGCCAATACCGAACGTTCGGCGCTCGGCGAATAGCGAGCACCATGTCCACACTACTCGGGATTCAGCGAGAGGTTGCTAGGGATTCGCCGAATGCAGCATGTGTTAAGCCGCCTTTATTTACGGGAAGATGATGCCCGTACATTGGAACTCAGGACAGGCGGTTACTATTTGTCGAATAAGTGAAATTCTTTTATAAGAGTACCTCTTGTAGCTGGAATACACCGTATTTATTAAAAGTTTGAAATACATGCTTCCGTCTAATTCATTTATACGTTTTCTACATGATATTCATTATCTACGGAAAATAAGTCTGAGGGTAAAGGTGTATTCCTTCACGAAGCCTTGAACTCTGATCTTGTCATGGGGTCCATTTATCTTTATTTTAATGTGTTCAAATGTAAGGTCTTTGATTCCCGCAGTAAGAGCCGCTGCACACCAGCTTGGCACAACGGCAAATATCATTAATCGCACCGCCTATGATAGTTCCCAGTTGCGCCCGAGTACCGTACAGTGCTGGATATAGAATTAATATTACTAATTTTGCAATGCGCGCAGAAATTTAAATAAAAATAAGTTTTCTCTGCCCGTGTGAGAGGTGTTCCTAGATATCTTTATATGTCCAGGAACTCTAAGAGAAAAAAGGAAACTTATCTAAAAACGAATTTTTGATACGCCGTGCGCGAAACGCGGTTTTTCGTGCTCATTTTCCGTGTGCAAAACAGGTATTTTTTTCAGCGTGGGAAAACATCGCGAAGCGTGTGCGAAACATTGCCAAGTGTGTTCAAAAAAAAATCGCGTAGCGTGTGCAAAAAAATCTGTAACGATTGGCAATTATCTTTCGAGTTAACGTCTTTGTGTATTATATACAAACCATAGTGTTACGACACTAACTGGAATCCATTTACTTTTGTAGAAGATATTTCTAGTTATTTGATATTTAATTTATATTCCTTTCCTTGACGCATTGCGTTTTGTTCACGACTCAACACGGGCGCGAGGTGTTTCCCGCATTCGTCTCTTTGTCTCGTGCGTGAATTACCCGTTTCACGCCCTCTTACCACTTACTATCGTTACAAACAGTATTTTATTGTTGCAGCGGAAAGTGAATATTTTTCGTCACAAAAACTCATGTTGAAGGGCTCTCGCATTTAAAATAAAGTCGATATATCTTATTCCTATGTATTAAATTATTTTTTCTAACAGCTTGATTAGTCAGAACTCACGTTTAGTAGATCTTTGATACTGAAACGGGTACCGGCAAAGCATCTGTCAATGGTCAACGCTAGCCCCTTACTGTGCTAATTTTCGAAAATTACAAGTTACAAAATAACGAGAAAGTACGTGATATTGTAGCACCACTAGTTTCATATGACTTTGTCATATCTTTGCAAGATGTTTCGCTTAAACAAAATTAAATCTCTTTTGTTACTGACATACAAGTTTTATTATTAAATTTCAATTTTTATTTCTTGAACATGCCTTGGAAACAACTGACCAAAGCAATCCTATTCTCAAAAACAGATTCTCTAGAGAACAGCAAACTCTTGGCTTCACATGCACATAATACATCCATTGTTACTCATCTTCCTTCTGCTCTGAACTTTTCTTGCTTCCATTTAATAAAGAAATGCATGAAAAACTTAACCAAATCGAAGAAAGAATGTAGATGACAGAGATCACAAGTGATACATATTCTTAAAAATACTCTAAATATTTTGGAAGAAATCCTGAATACACAAATGAGGACAGAAGTTCTTTAAGACAAAAAGGATGGAGTAACATTTAATTCCAATAATTTTTAAAACAAAAATACTTTAAATGTTTTCTGTGGAAAACATGTTGAGAATATAATTAGATTCTCAACAAATATCGTTTGTGTTTTCAGCTAATTACCTTTTTACACATCTTTTTTTAATAAAATAATATTGGGCATAAATAACTGCATTTAACGCTTCCTCTCCCCATAACAGCATTTTGAATTATTCTGAAGTCATAAAATTAAATTCTTTGAATAAATTTTATGTGCAATTTTGCATAGGAAATAAAGTGTGCCAAAACAAAAACTTATCCTTACTTGAAATGGATTTTAAGTGCATTACTATCACATATTGTTCCCTTCAATAAGGCTACTAACTAAGTGACATCAACAAAAAAATTGAATAACTTCAACAGGTCGTGAACATTTGAAATCTTTGCAACTTGGTAACTATTATCTGGTGTATGTAAGAATAATGAGACAAGAAGACATCAAATCTAATCTACTAAGATTTTTAGACTCTTCCAGGTTTGCTCTGGGCCAATTTAAAAAGAAAGTCACTTTTTTGAGGGAGTGAGTTTTATCAACTGCGACAAAAATTAATGAGCCAAGAGGGGATGATGAAGAATGAAAGTTCTCACAAACTACTAATGTAAGTTGACAATATACACTAATGTCATGAGAAACGAAAGTTTAAGTGGATAAAAATATTGTTTTTAATTTCAATTTTTTTTATTACACACAAAAAGTCCTCCCAATTTTTAATGAAGTTCCTCATTTATATCTAAGGAAACAAGAGAAGGGTATTTAAAACTCCCCTCAGGGGGTAGTTGTAAGTGTTGCAAATTGTTTCAAAGGGGAGAGAAAGATTTAAAGAAGTTAAATCTCACAAAATTATTTATGGAAAGTTCGTACAAAAATCCCTGATCTGATGGCAAAAATCATATCTCTGTGAACTTCGTAAAGTGTTTCCAATAGAACTTTTTATGTACAAAGTTTCCATATTAAGACAAAGAATAACACTAATGAAAAATATTCAACCATTGCAAACTTTATAAATTAAACAAATTCAAAAAATAATAAAAAAATGGAATATTAAAATTTTTGTATAAAACATCATATCAGCAATATATTGCATTTGTGCAAGTGGGTAGGCAAATTGAATTTTGGCTCACAATTTGGTGTTTCGCACAACTATTTTAACATTCTTAAACCGGAGTTCTGGGACTCAGACAAAATTAATAAAGCTGCTTTATTTTTCACACATTTTCCCCCATTGGCAAAACTTTTAAAGTATTCAGGCAACAATATGTGGTATGTCGATATTCAGTAACAGACATTCTAAGCCAACATTACAATATTTCATTAATAGAAGAAAAGTTTCAAATTAGTTAACTCCTCACTCTTAAATGTAATTAAGTAAAAATAATTCCCAAATAATTTAAATTATTTTCCCTCAGAACACAAAATTTCCAGACTTTCAAATGATTTATATTCCGCTAACTCTGGGTTTTCCAGGTCTGTCATTATCCTGCATATGTCAGTTACCAACAAGAAAATAAATAAATGGAAATGCAAACATCACTCTGAGATCACTCACCTGTTTCCTTCTTGGCTGAGGGGATCCATGGTGATCAGAAGATGGTGGTGCTGGATTCTCGGTGAAAGAGATGTGCGGCATGTGGGGTAACTGGGGTAGTTTCAAGGGAGTGTCGTATTGGGAAACAGGTGAAGGAGAGAATGGTGATGAATTGGGCAGTCCAGAAGAAGGTTCCTTTTCCGGGTGAATGGCAGATGCGAAAGGGCGAGCATTGGGACCCGGGTACAGGCCCAACTTCTCCAGAGACGCAAGAGGGGGTGGCGGCGTGAAATTGACCGCCGGCTGGGAGACTGGGACGTTTTCTTTCTCTGACAACACATGCTCGGTGTGGGCAAGTCCTCGCACCTGGGAAAGAAATTACGTTTACTTGATAACATGTGGTTAAACATAGGGGAGAGTTTCCCCTCAATTTTTGTTCACTCTGATGATCGCTTAAAAACTCTACAAATCATTACCTTATGTTCTGCTGGGGATATATTCTAAACCTAATACTAGTGTAAGTCTTATGATGCAACAATTTCAATTCTTGCAATATTGTTAATTCCAAATAAATTAATTAAAAATGGAAATAGACTTATCAAATTGTCAATTTCTCAAATTAATTTTGAGAAAGTGTTCCTCATTCATGAATGTACACAATTTGCACTGGAGTCTACTAATATAACTTATGTTGTGCAGATCACGTGAGTAAATTTCCGTATTTCAAGAGAAAAATTGCCAAGGAAACTGATATAAATTAAAGATTACTTGTAATTAGCCATTTCAGTATGTAAGATCCACATAGAAATTTAAGCAATTGTGATCAAGGAGAGATTTCTTCAAAGACTAACAAAGAAATACAGAAATATGGGAGCACAAAGAAAATTAAATTGTTCTTTTTCACCTTTTACATTTTAAAATTATAAAATGTACATGCATACACCATAAAGCATAAGGCAACTCAAAAAGAAATTAGTTGTGATATGTTTAAATTAATTTTTGAGCATCAATTAGGGAGTTCTCCGACTTAAACCAAAGGAGACTACATTATTGCTTCTACTTCAACTGTTCCTGAAATCAAAAGTAATTTTCTCACTACTTATTCATTTTTCATTCCTGACTTTTAGATAAAAAATATAATTTTGCCTATCTCTGCATCTGGAGATGAAATAACTGAATACTTGTTCATTTCTATGTCTCCCACCATGCAAAAAAGTTCACTCTTACCCTACAATAGATTAAATTAAGAGTCAGAAAGTTGGATAACCAGTCAGCAACATTCCACCCCAGTGATGCACATCACAACACCACAAAGGAGAAACATTTCTGAAATGCACATTGGCTGTTATTGTGTGCAAGACCAATGTGCATTTGAAATTTATAAATTTTTTAACTTTTCAGGATTTTCATACCAAAACCTCCATTTTCCAGGCCAATGTACTGTACCATTTTTCTAAATCATACTAACATATTTTAATTCATAAGATTTTCTTCAAGAGTGAAACAGAAGTACTAATGTTGATGCTCTGTGGCTCAATGGTGAAGTTTCTTGCCTTTCACCACTGTTGTTCCAGGTTTGATTCCCATAGACTCCCCGTAGAACCTCATGTGAAATTTGTTGCAACAAAACGAAATTGCATGCTTCACGGGGGCTAGTCCAACTTCTGGGAAGTGTCCTAAATCCTACCCCCAATCCTAATTCCTTCCCATTCTGGCCGTTGAGTAGTGACGCAGGGGCGCGTAGTAGGAACCGCATACGCGGAGATGATACTTGGCGGTTCTTTTGAAAACTGACAGCAATGAGACGTGACAGATGATGTCACATGACATGAAATGAATTATTGGAGGATTACTCCCAGGCTGATATTAATGGAAGATTACTCTGAAAGAGCAAAGCATTCAACACTCCCTGGGGCTTGGAGATGAGTTGTGTCAACTGAAGACAGTTAACTTGTGTCAACTGAATATCACACCATTTTGCTTTGTTTCAGTTAATTTTACAAAAAAGTAGGAACTTTTAAAATAAATATACACTGTAAAGAAATTAAGTTCCATCCATGTGGCAGGAAATTTGCTGTGCATCAATGCTGGGAAAATATAACAAGAGTTTGAATTTTTTTAATGTAATTTGAGTATAGAGCAAGAAAACATTAACTGAATCGGTTGTTAGACATAACTACTGAAAGGAACTTACAACTTTAGTAGTAGTCTGGCAAGAGTCTTCTTGTTTTAAAAGAGTAGACGTCTTAAAAGTATAATTATTTTTTATAATTTAATGCCATTAAAATGGCATTTTAACTTAACTTAACATATTTTCTAAAGCAAAATGTCCTGAGTTTTTTTTAATGGAACTTGCCTTTCAAGTTTTCCAACTGGCCAGAGTACAACTAACCAGACAGTGCATTTTGTTAACAAACCCTAATCTTATTTTTTAAAGATGTAATACAATAGGGAAATAGTATTTATCTTATATAAATTAACTTTGTAGTGTATATTTTAAACTATCAAGTAGATTTGAACTTGCCATTGCTTTAAATGCTGATGACTTACTTTTATCAAATCTGACCCTGAACTTCAGAACAATATATTGTTTTAAAGATAAAGATATGAGAAGCATGGAACTTTAGAGTAGCAAGATTTATTGTTGCATACTACTTCAAACGCACAAAGCACTAGCTGCTTTTTTTTTCTTTTTTTTTTTCTTTTTCAATAACTGGAATGGGATGCATCTTTTAAAGGACAGGATACATATAGTACAATATGTCAAGAATGCATTTTATTATATTGTAATACTAGAAACAGGAATAATCACAGACCAGTAATGAAATTTGTAATAAGCTTACTTTAAACCATAATTAAAAGCAAGGTGCAGAGAAAAGAAAATAGTTAAAACCAGATAAACATATACTTCTAGAAATTTATTGAACATCAAAACTAATTAAAATTGTTCAGGATGTTTGACGTGTTACATTTACTGTCCAGAAACCTAAGCAAGGGATAGTCCCTAAGGACAATGCCCAGGGTAGAACTAAATGAATATCATCCATAAAACTAACTTGACATAAAATTGTCCCTAAGTAGTCCTTGCAGCAAAGAATTGAAGATAATTTATTTAGTGGGTCAATTCTCCTTTCTGCAGTAGCCAGCTCTCAAGAAACTTTATATTCTTCTTCCAATATGCAAATGCAAAAGAAAAGAGACCTTCGTTATCAGCATGTAGGAAAGCAAAGAAAGGTTAACGTGAATAGAGAAGAGATCTAGAAATTAATTTGAAATAGACCTAAAGAATTGAAATTGATCCTAAATACATTGTCCTTAGCATAGCTATAAAATCTTAGTTCAGACATCAAAGCAGAATTTCCAATCAATGTTCAACTTTTCTTTCACCATATTATGGGGAGTCCCAGATTCCAAGCGCAAATTCGAAGAGGATATAAAATATTCCACATAAGTAAATTCTTTTAAATTGTAAGGCACTCTAAACAAAAATGCAGGAAAGTAGTCCCTAAAATGTAGAATTTTCTAAATTGGAGGGGTTTTCTCTTTCTCATCTCCAAAGTAATAAAATTAATTTCTAACAAAAAGTGTAGCATTTTACAAAGGTAAACATGCTACATAATGTGTAGAATTTTCAACAAATAAAACAGAACATTTTTAAGTAACGGAAGAAAATAAGATGCATAAGCCAAATAACACATTTTAGGAAATTTTAATACTGCTTTACCATTAGATGTTTTACAAAAAGATGTAATATTGGAAATAAGATTTGGAAATAAGAGTGTGTTCTTTAAAGATACCATTTGGTAACAAGAAATTTCACACGAGAATTATGAATCTGGCTTCAAAATTTATAATTTGACAAATGCTAAGAATGTTTTTGTCAATAAATAATATTTGAGAATAAGAATCTTATGCAAAAAGTTTCAGCAGTGCACCAGTTACAAATTAATAATTTAATTAATTAATTACAATAGTGTAAATTAATGGATGTGCAATGTTACAACAAGAAATGCAAATTTTTTTTAAAGATTCTATGAAAAATAATTTGAACAAATTCAAAAATTGAATTTTATTAACAATTTATGACAATATCTATTTCACAAAGACTAAGAATTATTGAATACCACATGCATGCTTTGGTTGTGTAAGTCATTTGTTATTCTTTCTTTTGCCTCTCCAGAACTCTCTGAATACTGAAGGGGAATGTGGGGAGAAAACATACCAAAATGTAGGCAAGCAAAAATTGAAGGAAAAATACAAAAAAAAAGAAGAAAAAAAGTTCACTCATTTTTGGGCACACTATAATATGATACTTTGTAACCTGTTGAGCAATAACAATTATTTTCCAATACAATGTGTACATTTTTAATATGTTCCAAGAAAAATAAAGTTTTCTTCAAGAGATGAAAAAAAGGTTTTTGATTCATTGTAATCGACACACATTTTTTATGAAGTGATCAATGTAATTAATATAGCAAAAAATTGAAACTAATACTAGAGGAAACCAAGTTTAGCAAGAGCACAGCAATTTCTAATGTAATTCATTTTAGAATATTTGGAGAAGAGTAAATTAGCAAACTTTAAAAGATAACATAAATCTAAGAAAAGTAAATGACAACTATCTATTACGCAAAAGTTAGCTTTAACTTGTACAACCATAATATTTTCAAAAAATTTACTGAACTCAATTGAATAGAATTGAAAATTGTAATAGACATAAAGAAATAATGACATTAATAATATTTTATTCAAATTGTAGAATGTCTCAAATTTAAAAAAAAATTATAATTCAGAGTAGCAGGACTTAAGATGTTACAAAAATTTAATTCTGAGTTGTCTAAATAAATAAGCTAAAATAATATTTTATGATAAACTAAAAAAGTCTGGCATTTACATTTTTTTTACATAATTTGACCATCATGAAATGCAATACAAATTAATCACTATCAAGGTGTAGTTGCTGCTTAGATAAAAAAATTTTGTAATTATATATTTATACTTTTTAAAGTAAACTACTTTTAGGGAAGCACCATTTTATCTAATTGTAACACATTTCATCATTATTTAATAATATTCCTCAAGATAAGAGAAATTTCAATTTGTAACAATAGGTTCCACTCCTTTCAAACATTCAATTGATTCAACAAAAACTACAGAAATGTTAGAATGTTCTTTCAGAACATTAAAAAAAAACAAGAAAGCAAAAACTCCTTCAGCACAGAACTACTATAGCAGTAATGAAAAATTGCACTATTTTTTGAGCATTTCATAAAATAAAATATTTACAAAAATTAGCTTATTCATTATTTTCATTTTTAATTAAAATTTGAAACTTATCTAAAACTATAAAAAATTTCCAGAGAATGACGAGTCAAGTGAACAATGAACATTAACACCTTCAACAACATGTAAGAAAATTTTTGAGCTTACCTGAAGGGATTCTGCTGCTTTGATGAGGGAAGCAAGTTGTTCCTGCACAACACATATTTCACCCTTGTACATAAAGTCTACAATTGCTTGCACTTCCCATCCTCTGAGATCCTTCAAGACTATTACAGGATGCTTGCAGGGGTTCTCCGAGAATATCCGCTGAAAATAGGGGCTAAAAAAGAAAAATATTGAAGTGAATAATAAAAATGCTTAAAAAAATGAAAATGCTAATAAAAACTATCGGCAAATCATGAAAACTGAAAAAATTAAATCTGAAACTGAAGACTTTGTTGGAATAAAAATGTTTGAACCAATTAACACACTCAGTATCTTAAGGGAAAATAATAGTTATACAAATAAACCATGTTTATAATTCAAAACTCTTTCACTTTTATATGCCAATGTAGTCTCTCGCCGCATTTAATTATTACCGCATTTTTTTAATACCCCAAAAAGCCAGATACCCATTGACAAAATGTTTTTTTATAACAAGCTTCTTCTACCAATGAGAACAAAAGAATTAATCAAAATTAAGTTACTAAAACTTTTTTTCTTTTAATATACTCATTATTCTAGAAATACTTTAAAAAACAATACAGTATCATTACCACCTATAGCATTACAAAAAGAAGATATATTAAAAATAACCAAATTCTTAATTCACATGACTTTCTTCGACTTGAAAATAAAGTAGTACATTCCAAATTGGCAAATTCTCATCACATAACAGCACATACAAGTGCCTCAAATCTAAAAGAGCAGCAGCCTAATTGAATAGAAACCTAAATTTGTGACCTGACTCCTCAGTGTCAACAGATCTACCCCTCACACATAGTATCAGATTCCTTGATGAAAGTTTCATGTAATTTACTATTGCCTATCCCAAGGAAAATCAGATCTAACAGCCTAATTCATGAAGCATGTTAATGATTATAAAATAAATCAGGTTTATCAGAAAATCTTATGTCTGTTTAAAAAAGTAATACATATCATTCTACAATCGCTTATTTAATTTTGAATTTTGTAAGGTTCATGATTCTAATTCAGTCTGATGAGAACTCTCAGCAATAAGTGGAAGTAAATATACGAAGATACCAATAACAAAAGCCCATCCGATTACATAATATTTTAAATATTTAACCCTGTTATACTACATTTATATGTTCTTAACAAAAAATATAAAAATGAAATGAATCTGTGATCACTGATGACCTTCTTGTTTTGAAGCAACCTAAAATAAGAAAAATGGAAATAAAAAAAATTTTAAAAAATTAAAAAAACACTCACCTGCAAGCAGAGAGAACTACTTTGTGCGCTCTGACACTGGCTTCCTCACACACCAATGTCACGTCAACAAGGGTTTCATTCTGCAGAAGCGTGTCAAACGCGCTGAGGATGTGATTTTGGTGATTGTTCCACCGCAGACTATATCGAGACGATGCCATGGCAGCAGTATAGTTTTAACAGTTGTCTCCAACCTGTAATCACACAAATTTCCAGATTGTTAATGTGTTGAGTAAATACTTCTGATTTTAAGATTTAATTGTAAGTTGGAGCCTGAGTATAAACAAGTTTTGATATTAATAATAAAAACTTCAATTTCTAATATAAATTAACAAACAGTTCTTACAATTTTGAAAAAAATATTCTACTTTCTGTTATGTCAATCATGTTATGAAATTTTCTTTGAAGTCTCTAAAAATTATTGAAGTTCAATAACAAAAATTTGATTTTTAAGAAATTTTCTTTTGCAAAAGCAAAGAAAAAATAATGTTCATTTAATACCTAAACTGTAGGAGATTTGGACAATTTTTTATTCGAATTTTGAACACATTTTTCACATTCAGTAAACCACATTATATTTGTTACAATATTTTTTAATTATTTGAAACAAATAATTTCATTTCCCTATAATGAACTAAAAATATACCCATATGTTTTTCACACTTTCACAAAGGTTCCAAGAGGATTTTTTTAAAAAAACCTGAATCGTACTAAGTAATATCTAAATTTACGTAATAAAATCCAAAAACTGTAACGAAAGTCAATTTCTTCCACAAATAATTGGGAGGCAAAGTTTTGGCAAACTTTATCAGAATGATTTCGGTTCTGATTTCTTTAAAAATCCAGCCTAGTACGTTTAATACATTGGGTAAATTGTCAGAGAAAAGGCACGAGACAGGTACCTCACCGGAAATGAGGGGTCACTGGTCTATTGTTGCGCAACGCCCACACCTGCGTAACGGTGGCGGATTTATTGTTATCATGTAATCAAATTCCTTACGACACGCTATTGACAAGAGAATCACAACTTAGAGAAAACTTAGAGAGAGAAAAAAGATTATGCAACATTCAGATACCAACACTTGCGGTGAAACATTTCAGAAAAAAAAATATCAGATTCACTGCCTCCGCACTTTTCCATACTGTCCCACAGCACTACGTCACCTGAAGAGTCGAGAATCTCCATTAGGTATTCCCAGGTTTCACTACATATTGTTTCGAACACCAACCGTCTCGCACTTTCGTGTTTGCGCGTTACTCATTGCATGTCGTCGGAACTCACACGCGATTTTCACACATCCACCCACGTCAACGACGAAGCGCGTAACGCGAACGTCGATGGGCCATGCCTCAGGCATTGTTGCGTTCGACGTATTGTCGGCGTGACGGAACGCCGCACACCGAACACGCTCAGGCCGCGGTGAACGTCGACGGTCCGTCCCGTCGCGACGTATCCGCAACACGTTTCTGCACCGCGAACGCGTTCACAGAACGAATGTCACTCATTCCTCGTCGATCCACTCGTCCAGCGAATTCCTACTCCACTGTTTCTCCAACGCCGGTTTTCCACAATCCGTCCTTTCTCCGGAGGAACTTTCATTTCACCCGCACTGATATTCGCGTCGTCGCGGTCCGCCCGCTTCTGTTGCGCGCTTCTTCCGTCACTCTTCTATTTGTTTATTACGTCACCAGCGCAAACGCGTCAACAATGCACCGCGTCACCGCAGCGCGCCGCTCTCGAAGACTGCTGACGGTGTCTTGGGCCCTTCGGCGAACATGGCAGCCACTGCCAGGAACACGTCTCCAGGAGGCGTTGGTTAATGAATGCGATTAGAAGACGTCGACTTTTTAAAAAATTCGACGTCGCGAGTAGTGCCGGAAAAAACAAATGCAATAGTGTAAACAATGGACACACGCTAGCCAAATCAGTTTGGCGGATCATAGACACGACACAAACACTGCGGAGAAAATAACAACACACGAAGTTGGGTATGACATTTGTGGAAAACGGAAAAAAAATGAAAATAAAAAAAAGGGGAAAACACTCGCGCACGTCCGATAGTTCCACCGCAGCGACGACAGCGGCCCAGCAGAAGCAGCAGTTCGAAGAATCCCCCGGGCGGCGGCGAGTGTGCTTACCTGATCGGGGCGCGCGTGCGGAGTATCACAGCAGGTCGGTGGAGGTGGTGGTGGCGGCGGCGGTGGCGGCGGCGGCGAGCGCAGTCGGCGGCATACTCGCACAGCGTGCCAACATCCCATCCGCAGCGACGGACGTGCCCAGCTGGCTCCGCCGCGGTCTGCGTCCGCGCTGCTCTGCGCGCTTCTGCCGCGCCGCCGCCTCCGCCGCCAGCCCGCGCGCGCCGACCACACCGCCACCGCCGCCCTCTTCGCCGTCCGCCGCCGTCCGCCGCGCGCGCCTGTCTCCGGCGTCGCCGCCCTCCCCTCCCGCGTCGGCCAAGCGCGCGGTCGGATGACCACAAGCACAGGGGCTCGCAGTCACCGCGCCACCGCCGCCGCCGCCCATGACGCAATTCGAGAGAGGAAAACGGGGGAAGGAAAGAGGAACGAAGGGGGTGGAGGCACGCCGCGGCGCGCTGCGTGGCGGAGTAGCGGAGGCGAGCGGCGCGGTGGTGGTGGGGGCGCGCGCGCGGCGTGAGGGGAGGTACTCCGAGAGGAAGCACCGCGCGAGCGGGGGAGGGGAGCGGAGAGGGAGGGGGAGGCCGCGCCGCGGCGCGGAGGAGAGGAAGGAGGAGGGGCCAGCGATGAGCCCGGAGGAGTCCGCGGGGCGACGGTGGGAGCTCTCGATAAGTACTCTCGGCGGCGAGCATCCCCGCGGGGCCCGCAGTGTATGAGAGCGCTCGCCGCGCCCGCGCGGGGCGCGGAGAAAGGAAAGGGCCGCGCGGCGCGAGTGAGGGAGGGCGGAGAGGGGTCCGAGGCGGTCTCGCACTTTAGTCCGTACGACGTGTGATCGATCAGTGACTCGTCTTGAGACACGGCCGTCGGCGGCGGCGGAGGCGGCGGCGGCTGCTCGGACGTAGTGCCGGCCGCACACCCCACCACCGGCCGCCGCGATGCGTCGCGGCGGTGCGCGCGGGGCGGGGGGGCGGGGGGGGGTAGACGGGAGTCCTGCCGACATACCCCTCCTGCGCTGCACCGCCGCCCCGCGCTGCCGCGGTCGCCGCTGCTTTTGCGAGCCCGCAGCTCGTACCGTGTTCTTCCTTACGTCTCTCCCTCTGTCCTCTCCTCCTTCCTCGGGGCTCCCGCCGCGCCGACTGCAACACTGCTCGCTCGCGCCCATGCGCATCAAGGTCTAAGAGTGATGGTATACGGTGCCTCCACGGGCCGCCGACTTTTTTTCCTCCCCCCCCGCCCCGCGGTTCCGTCTTTCTCGCCGCTCTTTTCTCTCCGTCTGCCCCCTCGCGCCGAGTATTCCTTCCTTACTGTTTAGACTAATTCGCATACGGATCCCTGTGTGCGCGTGAGGCGCGGCGGGCAGCGGGTGGTGGTTTCTGGGGCGGCGGCGGAGAGCGATGGGATCGGCACCCGCCCCTTTTCGCCTGCCCCCCCCCCCCGAATCTTGCTGGCGTTCGGTAGCAAGCATCCCTCGCCCCTTCGTCTTAGTCTTTAAGAGAGTAGTGTATTGATAGTGGAGTCGTGTCCTACCAAGCTTAAGCTCCGTTGCCTTCTCATCAGGTCCGTGGCGGCGCGAGGAAGCGCGCGTGGCGGCCCGGTGAGTGGGCGCCGCGACGCTCGGCGGCCCCCGCGGGAAGGGGTGGGAGAGGGGCGGTGACGCCTCGAGTCGCGTCTCGTCACTGCATCGCACGTGTTCTCTCCTTCGGGCCGATGCCCGGCCGCCCTGTCGGTCGCGAGTCACGCGGGAACCTGCTCGTCGCACCTGCAGGAACCACCCCCTCGGGACGGCGTCTTTTATTAGGATTGAGGAGGAAGCACAGGTAGGATGGCCCGGATTGTGCCCCGGCTCGGGATCCTTCGACTCGAAGCGGTCGTAAACCTCGCTTCTACCATCCCTATCCCACCACGTACGAGATCGCGCGAACAACAAAAAAAAATTTCACGTTTTTCCCCTCCCGCGGAACTAATGGTGTACACCGCACTGTTTGTGTCGACTGAACGCGCCCATTCTGACTCGTAGGTCAGATGGTAAACCCGAAATAATGCCCGACACCCGCGTCCGGTACGAGCTTTCGCTCACGTCTCTTGGTAGCGGCGTGCCTAATTAGAATACTCCGCCATTCCCTTTTCGTTTTTCAACCCTTGCTCTCGGCGCGGAGGCCGCGCTGGCGCCTGTGCTGCCTGGCGCCATCTTACAAAAACCGCGCATCTTAATTTGCGTCTCCTGCACCTTTCTCC